TGAATGTAGATCTAGGGCCCATGGATCGTGCGTGGATAAATAAATGTTTTTATGTGTATGGCAAAATGTCGCCAATGTTATCCATGTTGTCTAAAGTTGGAGTACTGTTTTGTAGTTGGAATGCAAAGACATGCAGTGAATAAACATATTTAGCAATCATCATCGATCACTTCAGTTAGGTAATGGTTTTTGCAAGTCATAGTTCATTGCCATGTTATGTACAATTAGTTGAAGGATCTAAAATCTCATAAGATAATACTACAATTAAGATACAAATATATTGTGCTAACTGTCGAGAACGACATGAACAATATGTCAAGAACGACGAATGAATTCTCGGATTATCTTCTGTGTAGTTACAGTTTGTGGTCTGTGCCAACTGTCGAGAACGACAGAGATAATCTGTCGGGAACGACATATGAACTGTCGAGTTTTCATATGTTAGAGTTTGTATTATATCCCAACTGTCGAGAACGACTGAAACAATCTGTTGGGAACGACAGATGAAGTGTCGAATTATCATCCAAAAATGAAGCTATATTGTAGTAGTGAATGTGAAGATGGCTACTACTGTCCACTGACGATAATGGATTTAGAATGGGAATGTAAGGTCGAAAAAGAATTGCAAGTTAAAAACGATAACTCACGAACATAAAGAACAATAACGTCTATAAGCCATAATGAAAATAAAACGATAACATAACTTCATATTGCACAACGTCATTGGGGAACATATAACATACTACGTCAACGAATTCCAGAGATGAAGTATGTTTACATCGGTTGTGTTACTGCTGGTCGGTTATGACCAACTCTACCGCGGCGAGTGCATTTCCTGAGTCGTGTGGTAGACTTATATCGGAAGGTGCAATACCAATATCAAAATTTGGAGTTTCGAGTGAATTATTGTTTGATACACTATGCTGATGATTGAGCTCCTCTTGTTGTAAAATTTGGTGAAACTTTGATACGTCAAGTGAATGATCTTGACAATTTGTATCCTTTCTCATGCCAACACTTAGGAGCTCGGCTTCCGCATTATTATTTAATATACTTTGCTAATGATTGAGCTCCTCATGTTATACATTTTGGTGAACATCCGCAACTACAAACGAATGATTTGGACAATTTGTATCATTCACCATGCCAACACTTGGGAGCTCGACTTTCAAAATAATAATGCATATGACAATTTCATTATGAATTGATATGTACCATTTTAAGTCTTCATCTTCACGTATTTCGGTCAGTGATATATTCAAGTTAGGGACATTGACCTTCAATTCAATTTGAGTCCGGTGATCAAGAATACTAAGTTGGTCCTTCAATCGTAGCACGAGTTCGATTAGGGTAATACCACTAATATAGTAGTGGTTTTGTCCCCTCTCTACTTCCATTCGTCATTCACATTAACAAAAT